GTTGTTTACTCGGAAAATGGCAACATCGGTCTTGAAAATAGAATTCTGAGGTTTCAATTGAGTTTATTTCAAGACCGGTCGAATCAAGCCCACCATGTGTGACAAACGTTCGTATCGACGATCGACCTTTGGAAATTCCCGGTCAGATGTCGAATAATTCAAGCCCGCAAAAAGGTGATAGTTGTGAAATTAGCGAGCGTAAGCATTTCTCTCGTTAGATTTGTCTTCTTGAGTTTAATTTGTATTTTTTGAAAATTTCCAGCTTTGAACAGTTCTGATTCAACAAGAACCGATGGAGAGAGTGCATATTTTGATCCTGCACTTGACTCGAGTCTTTTAGAAGGATATGTAGGCGTTGAAGCTAAGGTAAGCCCGCATTATTTTTTATTATATTTCAAATCAGTTTTGGAATTAAATTTAGGAACCAAATTTGGCCGCCAAACCCGAGAAACCGGTATTAAGGAAGCCTGGCCAACCACCTAGACTGCGAGTTCGAAAGAGGGTTAACGAAGGCAAAGGAGATAAAGGAGACATGGGGACGTTTGGGTATGTTATAAAGTGGGAGTCTAGTCTGCTCCGCCCCTTGTCTCTTATTGGTTGAATCTTCTGAATTGTAACAGCATTCTGTTTTTTCTTACAATCTTCCCTAAAAAATATTCTTCCGTTGGTAGCCATCCCTATCATCGCGCAATTTAATTGAATTCAAATAGCAGCTAATCAAATTCATTGATGCGCCTCAGTGTACTTGACTTTTTTTCCATAATTTGCAATTTCAAGCGATTTCTTACATCTATGATTGGCTTTCTTCTTCTCACGTTTTTGACTTAAGTGTTCATTTCAGGACAGATCTACCCACTCATCTAACCGACGATAGTGACAGCGATAGTCCGATTGTGTACAGAGATGACGAGCCAGTACATTCCAGACATGTGATCGCAACGTCATTACATGAAGATGAAGAGGATGAGGAGGATGTTCCTATAAGTAAGAACCACCGCTTTGATGCGTGCTCACAGGGTGAACCCAAAAATTTCTCGGAGAGACGTGGGAGAAAAATTTACGAAGCAAAGTTGATGAAATGTAGCTTGAGCGGAGTTTAACCATGCTTCTTTCATTCAACGTTATAAGAAATTCTCGAAGTGTTTTG